CTAATTGTTCACACCAGTCAGACATTGTACTGTGGTATACTGTGGTATGTGGTATGTTTACGGTATTCTCAAAAGCAGCACTATTTTGGTATTTTGAAATCTTGGCGATAAAATAAATATAGCAGAATAGCTCCTTTTGTCACCGATATTTCAAAATACTGCCGCAACCCATATCACCACACTAGCTTGACTTTTGACGTGTGTCTATACTTATTTGGGGAAATGCAGCGACTCCACTGATGCCAAACGGTCTTGTTTTCGCTCGGGGCAGACCCACGCCTGCTGAACGTCGTCCGCTCCCGGGATGTAACTCTTCCCCCAAAGTACAGGTGCAATTCCAGCCTTTGTTTAGCTCTGCCGTCGCCTAATTAACCACTTTGACTGGCGTCGCGTTATAATGGGAGGGAGGCGTAACGCGTTTCTTTGTCAGATTTCTTTTGTAGGAGTAATTTGTGAAACTCATTCACTTGTGTAACTGTTTCTTTCTGCTTACCCTTTGACATCTGTATTTTACAGATTTGTAGGATTCAAAAGCTTTGTCATTTGTACAAGTACAATGAAATACTTGCTGACGTACCTCCCTTCAGATGTTGAACATCTGACAATAACAAATGGCAACATAACAGAATGATGCAGACAGAATATACACTTTTTTACTGTTAAGTTTTATATTAATAATATCTGTTATTTAACTTATTAAAAAAAAAACCTTAACACATTAGTGTTTCTCCAGGCTGTTTTGTATGACTGCTATTCCTAGAGGCTTCCCTCGCTGTCCTGCGATGGTCCTGCTCTTCTGACGGACCCCAACGCTGCCTCTGGCTTGTCTGTGTGCTTCCCTGCATTAATGACTGAGCTATGAGGTCAGGAAACCATCAGGAACCACAGAAATGCTGCGGTAGTTGTTATATGTGCACAGATCCAGATTAGAGCATCACATTCTCCTATGTTCCAGTCCCACCTGCCGGGGATCCCTGTAAAGAAACACCAGGGTAGATGGGTATAATGCCCTATTATGTGGAATGAACTTTCCAGACTAATTCTCCGATTTAAATGAATGATTCTTGCGTGTTTTAAATGGCCGACTATTTCATCAGCTTCGGTGCCGTGGAATGGCAGTGATCCTGGGAACCACAAAATGCGATTCCATGTGGAATGCTGCTGTCTGAACAATTAGAGGAGTGATTCCACACCCATAACCCCCCCTCTGCCCCCCCCCCCAATGTCTCACACTGTCGGACCAGAGACCCTCGCAGACTGGGGCATGTGGGACCTGCTGTAATGCCGAATTTCAGGCCTGCTTTGTGCAGTTCTAAGAAGGGAGAAGTTTGCCTAGTTATTACAGCTAGGCTTGGCGATAACCTGTTAGTTTTACTGCAGATTTCCCACACTTCCCACTGCATTGACATGTTGACAAGTGCATTGTCTCACGCCACTGTAAGGCTGATGTTCATTATTAGTCAGGTTGCTGTGTGACCAGAGAAATTTACCAGCTCAATCAACAGTCAATTGAAGCAGTCAGGGTCAGTTGGTAACTGTTGTTGCATAATTAGATTGTATTGTTTTCTCCTTACCCACCAGAAGGCTGCCCTGTGGTTACCATTTATAACCAGTAAGCTCCAAATGCTTTTTTTTTTGGTCCATTTGCTCCAATGAACCAGTACTCTGGCCCTTTTGGGGTTGCAGAGGGAGTATTCAGGCAGTGCAGAGTATTCAGGCAGTGCAGAGTTCCCAGACCACATGTCTTCCCCACGTAAAACATCCATATTCTATAACGTCTTACCCAGAACCACACTCAACTCGTGGGTCATCATGAAAAAAGTGGGTCACAGGACCATTTTCACTGGGTCATGGAGTACATGGTAAAAAAAAAAAAATTGTGCATGGTGAAGGCATTATCCACCTCTTCCTACAGTACATTTCATTTACTAATACTTCATTTTTTGTGAAATTTAGCTAAATTTTAAATTTGGGTTGTAACTTAATGACCAAGGAAACACGCGGGTTCACTTCAGCACTGCCGCTGTACAGGCTGAACATCGAGCAGCACAGACACGGAGACGCCTCGGACGGGACACCAGCCTATCGCAGGACACGCATGCAGTTAACAGTGGTTCTGCTAAGCCTCTATGTTACTTTGAGGCTGCAGGAGAGAAACTGGAGTATTGGAGGGGGAAAAGCCACTCACATGGAGAGATCAGGCGGATTAACCCAGAGCGGGGGTGCGAATCAGACTGATCTGTAGGTGTGAGACCGTTGTGGCGTCCTGTGTGATGTAGATCAGTTTATTGTTAGTTAATAAAAGCCAGTGTATGTTGTTAAACAGAGAATTGAAACTTCTTTTAAAATGGCTCCGGGGATCGTTACCTGGAATGTGTTCTAGAACATTTCGGATCTTTTACCTGATATGTCTGTTGAACACATTGGACGCAAGGTGTGATGTGAAACTTGAGCCATGCCTCATCATGGTAACAGTTGCTATGTTTCTCATACCTGAATGTTTTGCCAGATGAGAAAACAGTGCGTGACTATAGGCCTATTGTGTGACGGCGCGCGTGTAACGGCGGAAAACGCAGAAGGCCTCCCTTTGTGCGGAGCTCTGCCTGCTCAGGTGCGAGGCTGCGGGAGCGACAGCATAATTATAATAACTGATTGATACTTTTATTGATCCCTGTGGGGAAATTGTCTTTATGCCTCCCTCAACTTGCTCTTTGTAGAGTAAGCTGTCCGTGACCTTCTGATTACAGCCACACAGGCTTAGCCCCCCGAGCCACACGCTGCCCCCTGGCATGTGCCGCTTGCGACTCGCACTAACTCACCGCGCCATAGACCCCCACGGCCCCGTAGACCCCCACGGCCCGGCACGCATCACACCAGACGCGTGGTCGTCTTCCTACACAGCCGGAGCTGTGCTAAGCTTGTAATTCATGCCCAGGAATCCGCACGTCTGTTTGCAGCTGACGGAAGGTTAATATCTCCAGCAAACACCCTCCCAGAGGTGGACTGAGGGGGTGTCGTCTGCGCTGGGCTCAGCTCTACTCGCGTCAAATCGCGTGTCATGGAATGACCTGCGGCTACATCAGCAGAACGTCTAGGTGTGTCTGTTACAGTCACCTGGTGACGGTTTATTTGGAATACAGCCCATTTTGCAGCTAAGGCCTCCATTTAGCTAGCTAGCTTTCCATATATTGGCCAAACTAGCTGTCTGCCTTTCTCTCTCTTTCTTTCTCTCTCTCTCTCTCTCTCTCTTTCTTTCTTTCCTTCCTTCCTTAATCCTTCCTTCCTGACTGTGCCTTCCTCTTACCTATACTATGAATTGTATAAGCACACTTCCCGATGTGTGGCTCAGCAGCGGATTTCACCCGGCGCTGGAGTCCGTCCGGAGCTCCAGTCTGAGTCTGTTTCCGGGGGCTCTGAACACAGGGCTGCTGTCTCAAGCGCCACTTCAGCCTCCACCTTTCGCTCCGACCTCACGGAGGAAGAGGGTGCATTGTAGGCGTACGGTTGGTTTGTCTCTGGTGTTTTTCCAGATTTGCTCAGACATGGTCACATATTTTTTCCTAAGTTTTCACTGGTTCGAATAGTAATTCTGAAGGAGGTGCTTCAAATGGAGGACCTTAACACTGGGGATTTATTGACTGAACACTCACAGATCCCCTTGTAGGACAGCCTGTCCATGTTTACCCACGCAATGTCCCGAGTAAGTGGCCCAGTGTTGTTCTGAAGCCATACTAACTAAGCATTCCTTTGTTACAGCGTCATCACACCAGTAATCTTGCAGCTTGTGTCCTTAAGCTGCTGTATAAATAGTTGGACCAGTTTGTCGTGGATGGATCTGTTTATTCTAAAAGCTGCTTCAGGAGCAGGTTTTGAGGTTAAACCCCTGTCAAAACAGAGCGTCAGTGCGACTGTCTTCAGTCTTTCAACTTTCAACTAGTACCCCAGTGCTTCTGGAATTTTAAGAATTTCCTTAGTGAAAATGAAGAAGTTTGAAATTTTCCTTGCCAAAAGCAGCGACTGTTACTCACAGAAAAGTACTAGCATTATTGGGGGGTGAGGGGTTTGATAAGTGACGTTTAGGTGATGGCATAAGGTATTCACTGTGGCTACACCATTAAGAGAACCTGCCTAATAGGGAAGACTCCCTTTTCCCTGTAAAACTGCTTCATGATTCAATCCAAGGTGGCTTGTGGCTCTGGGGATTAGGACTGGGAATCAGAAGGTTGCTGGTTCAAATCCAGTGTTGGGATCTTGAGCATGGACCTCAACCTCAACTGCTCTGGGGCAGTGGACATAGGCTCTGACCCAAAAACGTGCTCTCACCATATCTGTATGTGTGTGTTAAACACACATACATTTTTTATATTGCATTGTGGGGACCAAGTATCCAAATGTTTTGGGCTGTGTAAACAGACCAAAGGAAACTTTATTTTAATGTATGTTCCACGGGCAACCAAACCGGGCTCACATACAGCCAGTGAAAGGTATTACTTGTACATATTAGTCATCGTATTCAAGTCTGGGTGTGGTGTGTAGCTGAGTGAGTTGGGACTCTGTGCTTGTGATCGGAAGGTCGGTGGTTCAAACCCCAGAGCACAGTGATTTCACCGTTGGGCCCTTCAGCAAGGCCCTTGCACCCCAGGTGCTCCGGGGGCTGTCTGATGCTGCATGTCGCTTTGGATAAAAGTGTCTGCTCAATTAATAACGTGTTTGTTGAATATGATTATACAAAGTCATGGGATATCCCACGCTGGCAATTCCTGTTTCTGACAAAACCTTGGACCGATTTAATCTGCATTTATTTTGTTTGATCAGAATTCAGGAGAACCCTTATCTTCTCATCATGCAGGATTGGTGTTTCTGTCCATGGTTGTCATATTTCTGTTCGGCACAGTGGGTGTCTGGCGGGGTCCCGTGTGCCATCGCACACTGTAAATCGGTCCCAAACGCACATTCAGCAATGCACCTCTCCATCTTCTCTTCTCTTCTCTCTCCACCAGCTAAGCCATTCACCTCCAAAGTCAAGCAGATGCGGCTTCACAGGGATGACTTTGAGATCCTCAAGGTGATTGGCCGTGGAGCGTTCGGCGAGGTGAGTGACCACACCCCTTTTGACTCGAGCCGGTCGTGGTGGAGGATAGGCTGTCCCCGGAGATGACAGGAAGGAAGCTCAAATTAGAAGAAGTGAAACCCAGAGCAGCAGGGACTTGAGGTTTATAGTGAGGGTGTAGGTCAATCAAAAGCATGTTAAGTAGCGTTGATATGAAACTTTTAAAAAGACCTCATATATATTAAATTTTTGCACAAAAATACTTATGTTGTAATATGTATAGAAATGTACATGTCATCCTACCAGATTGTTAAAGGTTTTGCTTTTGTTATAGTAATTGCACAGCTGGCTGGCCAGTAGAAGTTGTCCAATGAGAATTATTACAGGAACTTTTTCTCAAAACTTGTACCTTTTTTGCTCTAGATTCCTTGTTTTTCTGTGAGGCATAAAACACTTTGAAATTTACGTGCCCTGTCTAGTGAGCTGATTTACTGATCATGTCTCCATCGTGTTTGTGGTATTCTCTGGGCAGTTATCCCCCAATGATCTTTTCAAATGATAATCATCGTTCACTATTCCAGAACAGTGGTTGCCGACAGGTCGATCTTTTAGACATCACTAATCAATCACGACAATCATACTGTCACTTTCACACTGCCACAGCAATTAGCATGAGCCACTCTACATCATCAGATCACTGACTAGCTTCATTAGCACAGAGTACAGTGATCACCAATGTGTCGACTGCAAGCCCTCAGTCGACAACTTTTACCGGGTAGCTTTCTGGATTTATTTATTTATTTTAAAGAATGTTGGAGACATCTGAATAAATGCGCTTTTCTGGATAAACACACGAACAAGAAGACAGCCATAATTATTGTGCAGTTCTAGAGAAAAATGTGATTTATTATATTTTTGTGCTTTTAGTTGAAGTTAGTGACAGCTGCTGCTGTGTTTAGTATTTAAAATCCCTGGGGTATTTTGGATTTTTCACCTTTGTACGAAATGCTTATTATTTTTAAGTATGACTTTTTCATATTTTTGGTAAAACAACTATAGTTAACATAGAATTAAGACCTTAAGGAGTGTCTCCTTGTATTTGTTCTGCTGAAAAGGGTTTAATTAACACATACATTTTTTATGTAGGCGTTTATATTGAGTTATGATGTCAGCGCTTTGCAAAAGGACATGTGTTAGTATTCCAGGAAGGCACATTACTGACAGATATATCAGGTGTGATGGCTGGTGGTGTCGCGCTCTACCTGCATAAGGGAATCTGAGACGCACATTACATCATGTCTAATTAATCAGAATGAGGCCTCTTTATGGAACAACTGTAGATACTGACTTACTCAGAAGCCCATGGGCATGAGCCAAGATTGCTGACCCTGCAGTATTTCAGTATTTTATAGGCAATTCTGTCCAAAAATTTTACTCGTATTTCAGAGTCTATTTATTGTTGTTTTTTTATTTTTTTGATTTGAGCTCAGACGACACTGTATGTCCTGGGATGTTAAATACCAAGGCGCTTGATCAGCTTTTCACCTGCTGCCGCCCCCTTCGAAACACACCTACCCCAACCTCTCCCTGGCTCTTGGCTGGGGATGGGAAGTGTCTGGCTCAATGGGTTAGGATGTCTGACCAGAAGGTTGCTGGTTCAAATCCCACGGTCAGCCGACTAGTTATATCACATTCGGGCACTTCAACAAAGCCCATAACCCTCAGCAAAATGCTCCAGATGTGCTGGATAAATGGCCCTCCCCTGCTCTCTGCCCACTAACTTTCGCATGTCTTAAAGAAGAGCTAGGTGCCATTTGCAAAACCTAAAGAATTCCTATGCATTTGGTAAATAGGGTAGTGGTACTTTATTGATCCCCATGGGGAAATTCTCTCTTCACTTTCCCCATCTTGCTCTCCATGAGACACGCAGCAAGCTTGGGGGTCATAGCAAAGACCCCGCAAGCTGGCTGACACCCTTGAGCAATAGGGGGTTAAGACCCAATGGCAGAATCAGTTTGCTGGCACTGGGATTCAAACCAACAACGTTCCAATCATAGGTGCAGAATCCTAACCTGCTGCTCCCCAAATAAAGCATCATTTCATTTCATTTCGCACCTCCAGTATGAGTGCCCTTCTCGGATGCTGGTACTGCCACCCTCGCTCATCTTCCTCAACATTCCACTTTCTTGTCTTTCTCTCCCCGTTGTCCTGGATCTCTTCCATACGCTTCTCTCCTTTCCTTATTATTTTTTTGCCCGCTTTCTAGGTTACTCTCGACCTAGTCCAGCCTTCGTCTCAACATGTCTCTTCCAGTGTTTTTAACCCCCCCCCCTTTGCCGTGAAAAGTCAGACAGGTGCTGGCACAGTCTCCTCCTGTGGAATTCAGGAATAAACAGTCCTGACAAGTCAAGAAATACTCAGCATTATCATTAGAATTGTCTGGCATACTTCATTTTTTTTTAGACATTTCACCTTGTGATACCAGAGGCTTTTATGTGGGGTCATGGTGGTAATTTTAACAATGGTGGGTAGCATGTAGTGCAGTGTAATACAAGCAGGAGGTGACACACAGTTCCGTATAATATGTAATACGATGGAACATGTATTTTTCCATGCTGCATATTAAAGAAGATGCAAAAAGCCAAAAACTCTTCACGAAACTCTGCATTCTCCCGCTGACTTGTCAGACCGTTGATATGATGAATTTGGGAATTGGAATGGCATCAGATATTACTTGCTTGTTGGAAAGATAGTGATCTCTGTTGCAAGGACTTGGTCTATTTTGTGGATGCTTTTAGCTGTGGAAGAAAGCGACGTTTGATTTTCAGGGCGATATTTAGGACACGGCTCCGAACTTCTGCTGTGTAGCGATTATTTTTTGGGCCAGCTTCTGGGGTGGACAGGCCAGCGATGTGCCGCTTTCAATCAGCAGTGAGACACACATGTCCGGGCCTGTGCTTCTCTCATCGTGGGGCCTGTTGCAAAAAAAGTGCATTTAATTCAGCTTGAAAACTGGCCCAAATTTGTCATTCACTGACTGTTTGCTACAGGTAATTGCTTTGCAGAGAGGTTGGATTAGATATTCTACAAACTGTCAATTTTTAGATTTAATAACTTGCTTTTGTGCCATTAAAATACATATTCTATGGGTGTAGAATTTCCCATAATTTTATAAGCAGAACTTCTTTTTTTAATGTAATTTTCAATTGATATTAAAATATTTAGGATTAAGTATTTGACAGTACAACGGGTAATTTATAGGTAATCTTGTTAAGGTGAATTAAAAAACAAAAGTAGATTTAACATGAAAGATGCAGGACTATTACGCTGTTGGTGCTCAGTACTGTCTGTGATTAGAGTGGTTATGGGATAGAGTATCTGGCTGCCATTTTCCTTAAGCATTTTGTAGATTTAATGCTTTTCCTAAACCCTCAGCCTGCTATGGGAAATCTTCCAAACCCTAGAGGATGGTGGGGGTGTTACTCTGCGTCCTGCTTTGGGGGGGTGTTACTCTGCGTCCTGCTTTGGGGGGGTGTTACTCTGCGT